TCCGCGGTGTTGGAGTCGTGTCCGTTAGAGTAGACGTTTCCCCGGATCTCAGCGGGGGCTTGCTCCAGAGACACCGACAGGGATTCATCTACCTACATATAAAAAGGTTAGAAAACTGTCAGAAGAACTATCATTTCACGGGAAGACTAGGGGTCGAGGAGTGAGAGAATTTGGTTAGGGATATTGCCAAATATCTGAAACAAAGTCCCAGAAACCTGCAGGTCCGCTGTGACTCGGACTACTTTTAAATCCAGGCTGAAGACTTTTGAACTAATTGAACTATTCACATCTCACACGGCACGGTAACTTTTATTATTCATGTTTTATAATCTTTGCTTTTTAATGTTTCTAATGTGTTTTATGCTCTTAATGTCTTTGAATTGCCTTGTGTTGAAAAGTGCTGTGTAAATTGTTGGAGGAAATATAACTTACTTTCCTATTCCTATGTCATATAACCACTGTTGGGACTGTGCGTGACCTTGCAGCTGCTTCCTCTTTAGATAGCAGGAGGCGGGGCATGATTCACTTTGTTTATCTACAGGTGGGAAGACACCTACTCTTGTCGTCCCACCTTTTGAGGGGGCAAAGAGCAACATCATCGTAAATGGGAATACCTGCATGTACAGAGACCTGCCGACACCAAACCGATTTACGACCAAGAGTGGGACTGCACTCAGACTATATAAGCTTGATGTGATTTCCTGTTCCTTTGAGCAGTATACCTCATGTCTGAGCTGAACCATATTCCTGTATGTGACTTAAAGGTCACCTATTCATTAAAATCCTCTTCTCCATGTCTCTTCTTCATCAACATGTGTCCCCTCTTCTTCATGTCTCTTCTTCATCAACATGTGTCCCCTCTTCTTCATGTCTCTTCTACATCAACATGTGTCCCCTCTTCTTCATATCTCTTCTACATCAACATGTGTCCCCTCTTCTTCATGTCTCTTCTACATCAACATGTGTCCCCTCTTCTTCATGTCTCTTCTACATCAACATGTGTCCCCTCTTCTTCATGTCTCTTCTACATCAACATGTGTCCCCTCTTCTTCATGTCTCTTCTACATCAACATGTGTCCCCTCTTCTTCATGTCTCTTCTACATCAACATGTGTCCCCTCTTCTTCATGTCTCTTCTACATCAACATGTGTCCCCTCTTCTTCATGTCTCTTCTACATCAACATGTGTCCCCTCTTCTTCATGTCTCTTCTACATCAACATGTGTCCCCTCTTCTTCATGTCTCTTCTACATCAACATGTGTCCCCTCTTCTTCATGTCTCTTCTACATCACATGTGTCCCCTCTTCTTCATGTCTCTTCTACATCAACATGTGTCCCCTCTTCTTCATGTCTCTTCTACATCAACATGTGTCCCCTCTTCTTCATGTCTCTTCTACATCAACATGTGTCCCCTCTTCTTCATGTCTCTTCTACATCAACATGTGTCCCCTCTTCTTCATGTCTCTTCTACATCAACATGTGTCCCCTCTTCTTCATGTCTCTTCTACATCAACATGTGTCCCCTCTTCTTCATGTCTCTTCTACATCAACATGTGTCCCCTCTTCTTCATGTCTCTTCTACATCAACATGTGTCCCCTCTTCTTCATGTCTCTTCTACATCAACATGTGTCCCCTCTTCTTCATGTCTCTTCTACATCAACATGTGTCCCCTCTTCTTCATGTCTCTTCTACATCAACATGTGTCCCCTCTTCTTCATGTCTCTTCTACATCAACATGTGTCCCCTCTTCTTCATGTCTCTTCTACATCAACATGTGTCCCCTCTTCTTCATGTCTCTTCTACATCAACATGTGTCCCCTCTTCTTCATGTTCTATAAAAACCTGTCTGAAAATGAGCTGATCAGATTTTGGCCACTTTGTGATGTCATAACGATGTGTTGTCTTGTGTAACCATTAGCCAATCAGCAACCAAGGTAACCCCCCCCCCCCCCCCTTATCACCTGAATCTCCTCCTAGAGCACCATTGAGTTCTTTGTAACCAAATCTCTCTCAGAGGGGCGTGGGGAGGGGCTCCTTATTTTAAAGTAACAGACAGAGAATCAGCACTTTGGAAACAGGGCTGAAACAGAGGGGATTATGGGTAATGCTGCAATGATCTGTTTGGTGTTTCAGCCAATCAGAGACAGGCTCTGGATATATCTGAGACCTGTGATATATTGATGAAAACAGTATGATAGGGGACCTTTAACTCTGCTCCTTCTTGTAAGAATAAATGAGTACCTGATTATTGATTCTCAAACCGGTGTCGAGTGATATTTTTCGAACAGAAATAAACCTGCCTTACCTCTGTGGACTGAGGGGATCCCAGTTCTGCCGGCATGGAGGTGATGGTGGTGGACGAGTCTCTGAAAGGACTGAGCGTCAGGAGGCTGGACTGTTTATCCTGAGAGGACGCAGAGTTCTCCAGAACACATCCTCGAGGGTCCTGGTTCAACTCCTCGAGGGTCAGATCGGATCCTACAGGTTCTGAGCAGCGAAACTTCTCCGGACTCTCCACAGAGTTCCCGTTGACCTGCGAGTTGTTCCCGTTGTCGTTTTCCAGCCGAAGATTCTCAAACTCGGCCGTCATGTCCTCGGGTGTCGAGACCTTCGAGCGATCCGCCTCCTTCTGGACTTCTGGTTCCTTTGAGCCTGGTTTACCTTTGGTCCCTTTATTCGTCGAGTCTTTCTTTGGGAGGGTCCCGTCTTTCTTGAGAGAGCCAAACTTGCCCGGTGCTTTCTTCACGTCGGTACTTCCTGTGGACGATGGTGGTTTCTTCACGTCGGTACTTCCTGTGGACGATGGTGGTTTCTTCACGTCGGTACTTCCTGTGGACGATGGTGGTTTCTTCACGTCGGTACTTCCTGTGGACGATGGTGGTTTCTTCACGTCGGTACTTCCTGTGGACAATGGTGGTTTCTTCACGTCGGTACTTCCTGTGGACGAGGGTGGCTTCTTCACGTCTGTACTTCCTGTGGACGATGGTGGTTTCTTCACGTCGGTACTTCCTGTGGACGATGGTGGTTTCTTCACGTCTTTAGAAGCTGGTTTTGATGGTTTCTTCTCCTCCGTCTTCACGTCCTTCTTGCCATCTTTTTTTGGTTCCGGCTTGAGATCTTTCTTTGGTTTAATACTTATCGTTTCCTTCTTCACGGTTTCTTTCTTCTTCTCTGCGTTCTCTTCTTTCTTCACAGACACCTTCTCGTCCTTCTTCTTCACGTCCTTCTTGTCTTCCTTTGACCCCTCTTTCTTTGGAACCAGCTTCTCAGCAGGTTTCGGAGGTTTTGCTTTAGAGTCTACCTCCTTTACTTTTGGCTTCTCCTCCCCATCCTTCCTGTCTTTCGGTCCGGCTTCACTTGCTGTCTTCGGCTTCGTCTTCACGTCCTGTTTCTTGAGATCCACTCTCTTGTCTTTCGGTAAGGCACTGCTGGGTCGGACCTCCCGGGTCTGGGACTTCAGACTCTCCCGACTCTCCGTTCGCTTTGGTGGTTTCTCCCTTTTCAGACTTTCTAGGTCCTTCAAACACACGACGGGATGTTTGAGGAATTCCAGATGTTTGAGTTTATCAAGTCCCTCCAGGATCCGGTTCTGCGGGGTGCAGCCCGGGAAAAGGACCCTGATGATCTTCTCCTGAGGACTCGATGGGTGCCAGACCAACAGAGCGCAGATTGAGGCGAGGCAACTTATCGGAAGTTCTTCAGACGGTGCATTCGACCCGCCGTTCGGCCAGTTCTGCATCAGGACTTCCAGGGTTTTACTCATGGGGTTCAGAGGGTACAGCTCCAGACGGCCCACCCCCATCTTCTGGAACAGGATCAGCGGCTCGATGCTGGGTCCGTTAGACCGGCTCAGAGGCTCGGGTTTGATTGAGAGGCTTTCTAAAAGCTGCAGAGCGAGCGCCGCCTGATCGCAGCTCTTCATCTCCGCCGGATCCACCTGTCAAAGATGGCAAAAATACACATCCTTTACTCAAGTAGAAGTACACACATCCTTTACTCAAGTAGAAGTACACACATCCTTTACTCAAGTAGAAGTACACACATCCTTTACTCAAGTAGAAGTACACACATCCTTTACTCAAGTAGAAGTACACACATCCTTTACTCAAGTAGAAGTACAGATACTCGTGTTTAAAAATACTCTGGTGAAAGTAGAAGTACTGACTAAACTTCTTTACTCAAGTCAAAGTAAAGAGGCTTTGAAATGTACTTCAGTAAAAAGTACCCATAACTAGCAGCTGTTTTAAAGAGTACCTGACCTCCCTTTATATTAATAGAACAATAATGTCATTGTTAGCTAATGAATGTTTCCATGCTGAACAACGGCAACATGACAACGTTTTCATTGGTCCCTCTTCTTTAGAGAAGACCAGGAAATGATGGATACACGGATCGTGTTCAAATCAATAGGCACGCAATGACTCTAAATAATAATGATCACGCCACCAAACACACATTCAAACTAAAGGAACCAGCCGGTTTGGAAAATGTGAGAAGTAGAAAGTACAGGTATTTGTGTTCAACATGTAAGAAGTAGAAAGTACAGGTATTTGAGTTCAACATGTAAGAAGTAGAAAGTACAGGTATTTGTGTTCAACATGTAAGAAGTAGAAAGTACAGGTATTTGAGTTCAACATGTAAGAAGTAGAAAGTACAGGTATTTGGGTTCAACATGTAAGAAGTAGAAAGTACAGGTATTTGAGTTCAACATGTAAGAAGTAGAAAGTACAGGTATTTGAGTTCAACATGTAAGAAGTAGAAAGTACAGGTATTTGGGTTCAACATGTAAGAAGTAGAAAGTACAGGTATTTGTGTTCAACATGTGAGAAGTAGAAAGTACAGGTATTTGTGTTCAACATGTAAGAAGTAGAAAGTACAGGTATTTGAGTTCAACATGTAAGAAGTAGAAAGTACAGGTATTTGAGTTCAACATGTAAGAAGTAGAAAGTACAGGTATTTGGGTTCAACATGTAAGAAGTAGAAAGTACAGGTATTTGTGTTCAACATGTAAGAAGTAGAAAGTACAGGTATTTGGGTTCAACATGTAAGAAGTAGAAAGTACAGGTATTTGGGTTCAACATGTAAGAAGTAGAAAGTACAGGTATTTGTGTTCAACATGTGAGAAGTAGAAAGTACAGGTATTTGTGTTCAACATGTAAGAAGTAGAAAGTACAGGTATTTGTGTTCAACATGTGAGAAGTAGAAAGTACAGGTATTTGTGTTCAACATGTAAGAAGTAGAAAGTACAGGTATTTGTGTTCAACATGTAAGAAGTAGAAAGTACAGGTATTTGGGTTCAACATGTAAGAAGTAGAAAGTACAGGTATTTGTGTTCAACATGTAAGAAGTAGAAAGTACAGGTATTTGAGTTCAACATGTAAGAAGTAGAAAGTACAGGTATTTGTGTTCAACATGTAAGAAGTAGAAAGTACAGGTATTTGTGTTCAACATGTAAGAAGTAGAAAGTACAGGTATTTGAGTTCAACATGTAAGAAGTAGAAAGTACAGGTATTTGTGTTCAACATGTAAGAAGTAGAAAGTACAGGTATTTGTGTTCAACATGTAAGAAGTAGAAAGTTCAGGTATTTGTGTTCAACATGTAAGAAGTAGAAAGTACAGGTATTTGTGTTCAACATGTAAGAAGTAGAAAGTACAGGTATTTGTGTTCAAAGTGTAAGAAGTAGAAAGTTCAGGTATTTGGGTTCAACATGTAAGAAGTAGAAAGTAAAAAGTCGTCAGAAAAATAAGTACTGAATGAAGTATTTGTACTCCACTACTTCCTACCTGTAAAGCCTTCAGTCTGTCGGGGGCGTTCAGGAAGACGACCCCTATCTCTGGGGAGATGAGGTTCTTCATCCAGTCCTCTTCAGTCTGGGATCCAGCTCCTTCTTCCTCTTGCTCGGCCACCTTCCTCTGCAGCAAACTGATCACGCCGGGCAGGTTGTCCACTCCGACGTGGGTCAGCAGCACCGAGTCGATCCGATCAAGGTGCCGAACGAGTTTCCAGAAGCAGGACCGGGTGTCAGAGCCGCCGTTCACCAGCACGTTAAACCCGTTCACGGCGAAGAACGCGGATCCCCCTCGTCCGCCGGGGAAAACGTAGCAGCAGGGCCTCGAAAGCTTCAGGAAACCAACGGTGCTCGGAGGCTCCAGGAGCTCAAAGGGCGATTCGGGCTCCAGAGATTCGGACAAGTACTCCAGGAACTCCTGCAGACCCTCCATCTGTGGGAGCACCGGCGGGGGGTTCACCTGCACCGTCAGGAGGTCCTGCAGGGGGTCCAGAGCCGGGTGGGACCAGAGACCCAGGTCCGGACAACTGAGGGTCAGATGGGCCTTTAGAGCGGGGTCTGCAGAACCCAACACCTTCACCACCTGAGGAACAGAGAGCAGATAGAGAGGACAGGTTGGAAAATGGAATGATTCCAATCATGACACAAAACGGGATATTTACTCAAGTACTGAACTTAAGGACAACTGTGAGATACGTTTACTTAAAGTGGACCTATCATGCTATATTATAATAATATAGTGTAGGACCATACCTATATAAGGCATATTTATACTTATTTTTTTTCAAAATACCAAACAGATCATGCATTTTAGCCATGCCTCATTTTGCTCTATTTGACATTTTCTAGCTCTGTTTTAGCAAGGGCTGATTCAGTGAGAACAGCACCATCTACAGGCCTGGCATATGTACTACAGCGTCTCCAGCGCTTTAGAACGGCAATGGCCGTGGCTGTCTCCTCCTGATTGGTGGAGTTGGCCCAATAGCCGTAGCGCCACCGTCCTGACGTCAGGACAGTGTTCAAATCTGGATCAGTTTTTATCAGATCCGTTGCAGCCCCTTTTTTAGAGATTTGGGTATGGAGGAAAATAGAGAGGGTTGTGTTTTCTGACACTTGGTGAGTTCCCTGGAACACCGGGGACACATATTCATGTAGAAAAGACGTACACAAGTGCATTTTGCATGATAGGTCCCCTTTAACTTGAGTATTTACATTTTACATTTACTTCTACTTTTACTCAAGTACAAGATCTGAGTACTTCTACTTTCACTAAATTTTAAAAAGTGTTCAGAACCATTAAATTAAGAATCCTGATAATATCGATGATCTGACCTCTTCCTCTGTGAAGATGTGCAGGAAGTCTCTGAAGGAGAAGCGTCCTTTCTGCAGCACGATGTCTCCGGACGCCTCCTCACACTGACCCGCCAGAACCAGCAGCTTGTGACGGGACGGGTCCAGAACCAGCCTCCGGACCTGAGGCACACACACACACACACATTAATATCACATCACACACTGTTATATTACAACACACACTTAAACAAACAGATCATGCACACACTGCACTATCAGGGGATCTACTATGATCATTTGTTAATAGTCAGCTGCAAATATGGTTTGACCTGCAACAAAAGGTTTCTTTACAGTTTTGTGTAGTACTATGTGTCCCTAATAACATACTAAAAGTACTTTTCCAGATGGCGTCAAAGATGGCCCAAAATTCCTTAAAATACCCTAACTCCTTCATAATTTATTCTAGACAAGTACTTTTTTGTCTAAACTTGAGTTTTGGGGGCCGAGAAATCTATTGGAAATGTCCAAATTGCAATAATATGATTACTGTTGGGGAAATATTTTCCAAGGCCCATAACTGTGACCCAGTTTATCAGTTTGTACTGACCTCACTGAGCACACGCACCTGTAACCTTGGCTGCTGTGCTCTCAGTGTTGTGTCTCCCTGCTCCTGCCTGTTGGCGTCAGCTGATAGAGGTGTTATGGTTTTATCTTGTTCTGCACAATGTTGATTATTCTCTCAGAACTAGCTAAATACACGGGTCTGGGGAAGAGCTCTTCAGAATTGATTGTGGCATCTCAACCGTGTGGTCAGACCGTGGCCCGTGACATGTTTTGTGAATTCTCCGGCCGAAGCTCCAAATAAACCGTCAGTGTTTGCCATCAAAGCTCCAGCTCTCCATCGTGTCTCTCTCTGAGTCCTGACTCCTATTGCTTCAGAAGTTTCCCCCACAATTACATAATTTTTAAATCCAATATTTTGGTGATTTCTTTCATATATGCAGGCGCCTATAAAGGGGGATCTGTACCAAACATGGAATTTGTATTAAGCCTGTAGCATGCTGTTTGTAGGCCTGGACTTCTCTGCAGCTCCACAATATTTTCACATATTTAGCCTTTAACAAAAAATGTACTGACAGCGTTTTGGAAGCTGCACTTGTCCATATTGACATTTTGATAAAATTACAATAAACTAAAAACCCTTTTTGTAATATCACATACATTTAATCCTCAGATAAGTAATGTTTTCACCTCGGAGCAGACGAAGTCCTGAGCCGGATTCACAACAACCTGGGTGTCCAAAACGTCTCCATGATGCTGCAGAGTCCTCTGACCTGGAGAGGGAGACAAGACACACTCTACTTTAAAGAGTCCTCTCCTGCTGATGTTCAGGTGTATATCAGTATGTAGTGTCTCTACTTTAAAGAGTCCTCTCCTGCTGATGTTCAGGTGTATATCAGTATGTAGTGTCTCTACTTTAAAGAGTCCTCTCCTGCTGATGTTCAGGTGTGTATCAGTATGTAGTGTCTCTACTTTAAAGAGTCCTCTCCTGCTGATGTTCAGGTGTATATCAGTATGTAGTGTCTCTACTTTAAAGAGTCCTCTCCTGCTGATGTTCAGGTGTATATCAGTATGTAGTGTCTCTACTTTAAAGAGTCCTCTCCTGCTGATGTTCAGGTGTATATCAGTATGTAGTGTCTCTACTTTAAAGAGTCCTCTCCTGCTGATGTTCAGGTGTATATCAGTATGTAGTGTCTCTACTTTAAAGAGTCCTCTCCTGCTGGTGTTCAGGTGTATATCAGTATGTAGTGTCTCTACTTTAAAGAGTCCTCTCCTGCTGATGTTCGGGTGTATATCAGTATGTAGTGTCTCTACTTTAAAGAGTCCTCTCCTGCTGATGTTCGGGTGTATATCAGTATGTAGTGTCTCTACTTTAAAGAGTCCTCTCCTGCTGATGTTCGGGTGTATATCAGTATGTAGTGTCTCTACTTTAAAGAGTCCTCTCCTGCTGATGTTCAGGTGTATATCAGTATGTAGTGTCTCTACTTTAAAGAGTCCTCTCCTGCTGATGTTCGGGTGTATATCAGTATGTAGTGTCTCTACTTTAAAGAGTCCTCTCCTGCTGATGTTCGGGTGTATATCAGTATGTAGTGTCTCTACTTTAAAGAGTCCTCTCCTGCTGATGTTCGGGTGTATATCAGTATGTAGTGTCTCTACTTTAAAGAGTCCTCTCCTGCTGATGCTCAGGTGTATATCAGTATGTAGTGTCTCTACTTTAAAGAGTCCTCTCCTGCTGATGATCAGGTGTATATCAGTATGTAGTGTCTCTACTTTAAAGAGTCCTCTCCTGCTGATGTTCAGGTGTATATCAGTATGTAGTGTCTCTACTTTAAAGAGTCCTCTCCTGCTGATGTTCAGGTGTATATCAGTGTGTAGTGTCTCTACTTTAAAGAGTCCTCTCCTGCTGATGTTCAGGTGTATATCAGTATGTAGTGTCTCTACTTTAAAGAGTCCTCTCCTGCTGGTGTTCAGGTGTATATCAGTATGTAGTGTCTCTACTTTAAAGAGTCCTCTCCTGCTGATGTTCGGGTGTATATCAGTATGTAGTGTCTCTACTTTAAAGAGTCCTCTCCTGCTGATGTTCAGGTGTATATCAGTATGTAGTGTCTCTACTTTAAAGAGTCCTCTCCTGCTGATGTTCGGGTGTATATCAGTATGTAGTGTCTCTACTTTAAAGAGTCCTCTCCTGCTGATGCTCAGGTGTATATCAGTATGTAGTGTCTCTACTTTAAAGAGTCCTCTCCTGCTGATGTTCAGGTGTATATCAGTATGTAGTGTCTCTACTTTAAAGAGTCCTCTCCTGCTGGTGTTCAGGTGTATATCAGTATGTAGTGTCTCTACTTTAAAGAGTCCTCTCCTGCTGATGTTCGGGTGTATATCAGTATGTAGTGTCTCTACTTTAAAGAGTCCTCTCCTGCTGATGTTCAGGTGTATATCAGTATGTAGTGTCTCTACTTTAAAGAGTCCTCTCCTGCTGATGTTCGGGTGTATATCAGTATGTAGTGTCTCTACTTTAAAGAGTCCTCTCCTGCTGATGCTCAGGTGTATATCAGTATGTAGTGTCTCTACTTTAAAGAGTCCTCTCCTGCTGATGATCAGGTGTATATCAGTATGTAGTGTCTCTACTTTAAAGAGTCCTCTCCTGCTGATGTTCAGGTGTATATCAGTATGTAGTGTCTCTACTTTAAAGAGTCCTCTCCTGCTGATGTTCAGGTGTATATCAGTGTGTAGTGTCTCTACTTTAAAGAGTCCTCTCCTGCTGATGTTCAGGTGTATATCAGTATGTAGTGTCTCTACTTTAAAGAGTCCTCTCCTGCTGATGTTCAGGTGTATATCAGTATGTAGTGTCTCTACTTTAAAGAGTCCTCTCCTGCTGATGATCAGGTGTATATCAGTATGTAGTGTCTCTACTTTAAAGAGTCCTCTCCTGCTGATGTTCGGGTGTATATCAGTATGTAGTGTCTCTACTTTAAAGAGTCCTCTCCTGCTGATGTTCAGGTGTATATCAGTATGTAGTGTCTCTACTTTAAAGAGTCCTCTCCTGCTGATGTTCAGGTGTATATCAGTATGTAGTGTCTCTACTTTAAAGAGTCCTCTCCTGCTGATGTTCAGGTGTATATCAGTATGTAGTGTCTCTACTTTAAAGAGTCCTCTCCTGCTGATGTTCAGGTGTATATCAGTATGTAGTGTCTCTACTTTAAAGAGTCCTCTCCTGCTGGTGTTCAGGTGTATATCAGTATGTAGTGTCTCTACTTTAAAGAGTCCTCTCCTGCTGATGTTCGGGTGTATATCAGTATGTAGTGTCTCTACTTTAAAGAGTCCTCTCCTGCTGATGTTCGGGTGTATATCAGTATGTAGTGTCTCTACTTTAAAGAGTCCTCTCCTGCTGATGTTCGGGGTGTATATCAGTATGTAGTGTCTCTACTTTAAAGAGTCCTCTCCTGCTGATGTTCAGGTGTATATCAGTATGTAGTGTCTCTACTTTAAAGAGTCCTCTCCTGCTGATGTTCGGGTGTATATCAGTATGTAGTGTCTCTACTTTAAAGAGTCCTCTCCTGCTGATGTTCGGGTGTATATCAGTATGTAGTGTCTCTACTTTAAAGAGTCCTCTCCTGCTGATGTTCGGGTGTATATCAGTATGTAGTGTCTCTACTTTAAAGAGTCCTCTCCTGCTGATGTTCGGGTGTATATCAGTATGTAGTGTCTCTACTTTAAAGAGTCCTCTCCTGCTGATGTTCAGGTGTATATCAGTATGTAGTGTCTCTACTTTAAAGAGTCCTCTCCTGCTGATGTTCGGGTGTATATCAGTATGTAGTGTCTCTACTTTAAAGAGTCCTCTCCTGCTGATGCTCAGGTGTATATCAGTATGTAGTGTCTCTACTTTAAAGAGTCCTCTCCTGCTGATGTTCAGGTGTATATCAGTATGTAGTGTCTCTACTTTAAAGAGTCCTCTCCTGCTGGTGTTCAGGTGTATATCAGTATGTAGTGTCTCTACTTTAAAGAGTCCTCTCCTGCTGATGTTCAGGTGTATATCAGTATGTAGTGTCTCTACTTTAAAGAGTCCTCTCCTGCTGATGTTCAGGTGTATATCAGTATGTAGTGTCTCTACTTTAAAGAGTCCTCTCCTGCTGATGTTCGGGTGTATATCAGTATGTAGTGTCTCTACTTTAAAGAGTCCTCTCCTGCTGATGCTCAGGTGTATATCAGTATGTAGTGTCTCTACTTTAAAGAGTCCTCTCCTGCTGATGATCAGGTGTATATCAGTATGTAGTGTCTCTACTTTAAAGAGTCCTCTCCTGCTGATGTTCAGGTGTATATCAGTATGTAGTGTCTCTACTTTAAAGAGTCCTCTCCTGCTGATGTTCAGGTGTATATCAGTGTGTAGTGTCTCTACTTTAAAGAGTCCTCTCCTGCTGATGTTCAGGTGTATATCAGTATGTAGTGTCTCTACTTTAAAGAGTCCTCTCCTGCTGATGTTCAGGTGTATATCAGTATGTAGTGTCTCTACTTTAAAGAGTCCTCTCCTGCTGATGATCAGGTGTATATCAGTATGTAGTGTCTCTACTTTAAAGAGTCCTCTCCTGCTGATGTTCAGGTGTATATCAGTATGTAGTGTCTCTACTTTAAAGAGTCCTCTCCTGCTGATGTTCAGGTGTATATCAGTATGTAGTGTCTCTACTTTAAAGAGTCCTCTCCTGCTGATGTTCAGGTGTATATCAGTATGTAGTGTCTCTACTTTAAAGAGTCCTCTCCTGCTGATGTTCAGGTGTATATCAGTATGTAGTGTCTCTACTTTAAAGAGTCCTCTCCTGCTGATGTTCAGGTGTATATCAGTATGTAGTGTCTCTACTTTAAAG